TATGCGTATACATATATATCTATATATTTCTCTATCTCTGTCTCTGTCTCTGACTCTAGCTATATGCGTATCTATATTTGCCCCATAAAGGCAATTGTATGCGAGTTTTTATCATAGCGTATATAAAATTTTATGCATGTTGGGGAAATATATTTCTGCTTGTATTCGTGCACATCAGAGTGGCAATTGTATGGTGTCGTTCGCAATTGATACTGCTAGCGTAGATATGTACGGGTGATAAAGTGAGGCACGATTTTTCCACTGCCAATTATACAAAAATTCAACATGCGTGTGTGTGATTATCTTTCTGTGTGCACGGGCACAATAAGCATGTATGTCAATTGACGATGGGTCATCTCCATACAAACAAGCTGTTAGTTCTGTTCCGCGCGATGTCAAGGTACCAAGGCTCTCGTATGATGCATTTCACAAGACCCATCAAATCATCTTTAATTCAATACGCATCTTCCCATCGCATCCTTCTCCCAGGTCTGGCTGAACCTCAACCTAGCCGTGAAGGAAGAATCTATTTCAGGTTACGTTGAGCTGCAGACCAATCTCGTGGTCTCGCAAGATCGAACCGAACGCAACCTGATCGTGCACCTGAAGAAAGGCATAAATCTCGCCAGTAAAGATCCCAATGGGCTGTCTGACCCCTACCCGGTACTAGTGATGCTACCCCTATGTGAGCACAGTGAAGTGATGCGGGGAACCACGCACATGGGCACTCTCAATCCACAGTTCAGCGAGAGCTTTCTCTTCAAATTGCCACTGAATCCTAAGGACGACCCAGAAGGTAGGTATGGGGTGCGTGGTAGCTTGTGCGGCTGTTGCCGTTTCTCTCTCAATAGGAAGAGGCTGAGTGTATATGTAGTGCGTCGTTTCTCTCTCTCTCTTTGTGTGTGTATGTGAGTGTGTGTATATGTAGTGCGTGTTCCATGTCCATGTCCGTAGTTGTATCAATTTTTGAATATCAAATGAAACGTTCGTATATACATTAGTATTTGGGCGTTCGTATCGCTACGTCGGTGTATGTGCTATAGTTTGCGTGTGTGCTGCTATCAAATTTAATGTGCTACCTACTTCAATACTCATGCATATACAAAGATACACTACACCTATTCAAGTGCACACTTCACCATCGACATGGATATGTCTTTACCATAGCGCCATTTGTAGAAAGGGGATCTACAGTCATGTCTGATTACATCGCTTAGTATTTGCCTCGATCACCTCAAGACTGACCATCTTCAAATTCAAATCATACGTTTTACAGGCTTGTACCTAGCAATCTGGGACTGGGATCGCTTCTCAAAATCTGATTTTATGGGAGAAACACTGATCCCCATGAAAGAGCTACTGGCCATCAGTGGCGAGGAGCGGGTGTCGTTATACGGCCTGTCCCCGAAAATACACATTACCTCTGTTCAATCGGGGGACAACGAGGAGGCCCATGACTTCGTGTATGTATCGTGTGTACGTATACATATATAGAGACACACACACGTACACACTTATATATATATGTATGTATGTATATAT